TTTTTTTTCAGCCAGACTAACTATGTAATCATTTGGACAATAAGGCTTCATGCACACTGGGAGTTTTAAAAACACTGGTAACGTTAGCTATGTAAAGGCACATTAAAAAGTTTTTCAGCGTTTTTCAGTGTTTTTGCATTAGCGTTTAGCTATGTAAAGGCACATTAAAAAGTTTTTCAGAGTTTTTCAGTGTTTTTGCATTAGCGTTTAGCCACGTTTTTCCACGTTTGCGTTTTTTTAGTGAACAAAACATTTTGCTCAAAAACAGTCCAAAAATGCTGGTTTTCGGCATTTTACTATGTTTTGCCGCATTTTACTACATTTTTCAGCATTAGAGTGTTTCTACAGCTAAAAAACTCCTCTAGAAACCCACTAGTTCTCAGTTGTTTTCCAGCCAAAAACGCCCTGCCAAAAAAACGCTGATTACATTCTATGTGTGCACGGACACATAGGGTAACATGCTGGGGAGTTTACTGGCTGTAGAAAAAAATCTCAAAAGCCAAAAACAGCCACTGTAAAAATGTCCAGTGTGCATAAGGATGAAAACTGAACTGTCTGTGGCCACCATAAGGTCCTGTTCATATTAGGCGATTCCAAGCTGTGGCAAAACACATAATGTGCTTTTGAATTCCATTATATATTTAATGGCACCCCAAACATGGCATGATTTTGCACAACTGTCATGTGATAAAATTGTGCAGCAAAACGCATTTTAAGAATTGCACTTAACAGAGAAGCTGTTAGGAAAATCTAGTTGGGCTCTCTGCTTAACCTCCTTAGCTGTATGATTATGTCAATATTTCTGTGCTCAAAGCGGTACATTTTCTTGCATGGAAATATGTATTTTTTTTATTGTAGGCCTGTAATTCTTAGGAATAACTCACTGAAATCTGTCCGAACAAGAGTCTACTAAACATCCCGGGTATGATAAAATTTGCAACACTAAATCATAAATTATAATATATTAAATAATCATAAAAAAAATAATAATATAATAAATTTAATTCAATAATGTAATCAAACCAAAAACACTGAAATTTGAAATATAGCGCCAAGTTCGCACATCACTGAGCAAAGTCGCAAAATCGTTTTCAGTGTCTGACGAATTTCCCCACAAATCATTATCACTCAATTCTGCAAGTGGTTCTGATTTACTATCACTGTTCTCTAGCTGGTCTAAAACCGCTTTTGACCTAAAGGGACGCTTTTTGGATGCCATGGACGTTTCTCAGTTTCCAGGCAGAAAGAATGGTAAAAATGCAGTTAGAGCACAGGACAAAGCACTAGGGACACAATGTATGTGAAATGCTCTGATACAGTAATGTTATACTACGAAATTTTAGTGTATTGAGTGAATGTCACTTTTAACATTTTTGAATTTCCCGCCGGTTTCGTCCCCCATATGTCCCGTACATCCCAACCCTCGCAGGGAACAGAACCCAGATGCTGGCATCGGCCAGAGGAGATGGCTGGGGGCGCTGCAGGGGGGACTTTGCGGGAGCATAGGACAAGGTAAGTGAAACGGGGATCCCAGAGCAACGCTGCAGGGTAATCCCGAGTGTAGCTCGAGGTTATCACTTTTGGTACTGACAGTTTACTTCAAGCTACACTCGGGAATACCGCCAGGGGGGTTAACAGAGTGCTGTGATGGATCAGTCAGGTCTACTAATGATGCTCTGGGGCTGCTGAGTTTGCCTTGAGTTCTGGCCACCTTCAGGAAGCTATGAGATCCTTCCAAAACCTAGGAGAGAACTAGGCAGATGAGCAGCATGAATATGGATGCAGCCCTGGCCAGTTGCAGGGGAGGGTAGTCCCATTGCATGCTGGGAGTGATATTTATGTTTATGGAGCACATGGGTTCAGTGTCTTTCCCGGGAGAGGATTGCACCAAGCCACGCTGGCGGCAGGCTTGCCTCTCCTGGCACAAGCTGCCATGTGGCCTCAGGTGGGTCGATCTGAGGGCCTGAGGTTAGAGAGAGTGACCTGGTTCTACACTATGCTCACTGAGGGGAGCTGCCTGCCAAAGATCTGTCTGGTATCACTGGAGAGTTTCTATTGGAAGATTAGAAGGAGGCAACCATTCTGTTCTTGGGCCTTGTGAGTGACAGAACTGCGCAGCAAAATGCGTTTTAAAAAGCACACTTAAAGTGGAGTTCTAATCACCCTGTCAAAAAATACAATATAAACTACAAAAACTGTAGCTGCTGACTTTTATAAAACAGCCACTTACCTGCCCCTCGGTCCTGCGGTGTTTCACCGGCCATCCTGTATTCCAGGAGGCCAACATCTTCAGTGTGGGCACCTGGCTGTGATAGCTTGTGGCTTCACAGCTGGGTACCCACTGCGCATGCGCAAGTAGCACTGCGCTTCATGAATGGTCCTGTAGTCTTCTGGGACCTGTCATGTGTCCCAAAAGACTACAGAGAGGGAGGACACCTTCCGCTTCCGATTGCCTAGGCGATCAGACCAGAAGTGGGAGCGGGTACCTGTCAAATTTGGGTTTTTGCCCCCCCGCCCCCCAAAGGTGGCAATCCTTAATGGGGAGCGGGGGAGCAGTCCTTAAAGAGGATCTTCCCCTTTTGGGTGGAGCTCCGCTTTAACAGAGAAGCTGTTAGGAAAATCTACTTGAGCTCTCTGCTTAACAGAGTGCTGTGATGGATTAATCAGGTCTGCTCATGATGCTCTGGGGTTGCTGAGTTTGCCTTGAGTTCTGGCTGCCTTCAGGAAGCTATGAGAGCCTTCCAGACCCTAGGAGGGAACTATGCAGATGAGCAGCATGAATATGGATACAGCCCTGGCCAGTTGCAGGGGAGGGCAGTCCCAATGCATGCTGGGTGTGGTATTTATGTTTTGGGAGCACATGGGTTCAGTGTCTTTCCCGGGAGAGGATTGCACCAAGCCAGGCTGGAGGTAGGCTTGCCTTGCCTGGCACAAGCTGCCATGTGGCCTAAGGTGGGTCGGCCTAAGGGCCTGAAGTTAGAGAGAGTGACCCTAGTTCTTCAGTAAGCTGACTGAGGGGAGCTGCCTGCCAAAGCTCTGTCTGGTATCAATGGAGGGTTGCGATTGGAAGATTAGAAGGAGGCAACCATTCTGTCCTTGGGTCTGGTGAGTACTGACATTGGGTAATTTCGGTACTCTGTGTGCTTGCCACCCCCCTGCTGCTTGATAGTCAGCAAGGGTCTGAAAAGGAAAGGGAACACTAGCTAGTGTTCTGAAGAGCTTGTCCAGTTGTTACTGCAAAGGACTTTGCTCAGTTACTTTACCTTTGGGCTGTCTCAGTCTGTCGTAGCTGGCTTATACCTGAGGAGCTCAGCCCTGTAACTACTACTACTGCAGCAAGGGACTTTGCTCACTCCTAAACTATCTGCTGCTACAAGGTTAAGGGACGTCTGCTATCTGCTTTCAGCCAAGACTTCAAAAGTGCTCAACTAAGAGATCAGCTAGATGTCCTCAGTGGGAATAATTATAATTTTGGAGTATCCTACTACATTCCCAGTTCTGCAATAAAACTCAAAAAACAAACATCCCCTAGACTGATTACTGGAGACCATGAAGGGTGTGTACCTGGCTGTGTAAAATACCTTGTGCCTGGCTGCAGGGCAAAGAATGCGGAAACCTGGGCAAATACACAAGCAGCCCTCACGAGGGTGGCACTACAGTGGGAATGCTACTTCCCGCAAATCGATTACTGAAGGGAGTGAAAAATCCACAGGAGCCAGAGCATCACAGCTGTGCTGCACTGGTCACAATTGCAATGCTTTGCAGGCTCCAAAGAAAAACATTAACCACTTCCCGTCTGGCCGCTGTTTATAAACAGCAGGACGGTGGCAGTCCAGGATCGAGTTGCCGTTCATAAACAGCACCCGCATTTTAAAGCTGTGCGCGCTCCCTGGGCCTCCGGACACAGTGGAATACCGATCGTCATACAGGACCTCTGTGCGAGGTCCCGATCGTGTGATCACTGATTGGCCAATCAGTGATCACATACAGAGTAGTAAGCAAGATGTCACTTCTGACATCATTGCTTACTACGTGTGAAATCTGTGAATGATCACAGAGGTCACATGGTACAAGGCTATTCACAACAGCCTTGTACCATGTGACCAGTTGTGACCAATCACAGCTCACACGGTAGTTCTCAATGGCTGCAAGAATGCAGCCAGAGAGAAGAAATGATTGCTTTTACAGCCTTTATGGAAAAGCAATCAGTGTTAAAAAAAAAAAAAAAAATCTTCACCCCCCACAAGTAGTACAGTGTCACTATGGTGACACTGTACTGCTAGGGTGACAGTATGTAAAAAAAAAACCCACATAAATAATAATATAAAAAAATAAAAATGTAAAAAAATGTTTTTAATTATTTTTGGTTCTAAACTAATTTGGGTTATTTGTTTTTTTACTAAAATTGTGGGCAAGATTTATGATGAAATATTATTTATTTGCAACATTTTATAAGAAAAACACTTTTTTCAAAATGTTTGGACTTATTCATTTATATAGCAAAAAAAAAAAAAATCCCAGTGGTGAAAAAATACCACCAAAATAAAGCTTTATCTGTCTCAAAAAAAATGCTAAAAAAATTCATATGGGTACAGTGTTGCATGACTGCACAATTGTCATTCAAAGTGTGATAGCGCTGAAAGCTGAAAATTGGCCTGGACAGGAAGGGGGTAAAAGTGTCCGGACTTGAAGTAATTAACAAATGCCCTTTTTTTTTTTTTTTTTGCAGTAACACAAAATGCATCTCTCTGACATTTTCCACACTTCTGCCACTGCTATTCTTCAGTGCTCACTTGCCTAGCTACGTTCAGAGGTAGCGCTTTCAAAAGCAAAATCACAGCCAATCAGCATTGACAAATTGTGTTAAACCAGCCTTTCTTAGCGGCCAATAGGATTCCGCTTCTATGCCTCGCTATCAAATAGTAGCTCTCCGTACAGTGGTTGACGAATCGCGCTGGTGTCTGCGCATGTGCGGCTTTCTTACGTTGCCAGGTTCGAAGATGGCGGGTACGAGCTTGGTTGCTGGAGATGTGGTCGTGGATGCGTTACCGTACTTCGATCAGGGTTACGATGCCGCGGGGGTCCGGGAGGCGGTGAGTGCATGATTCTGGGAGGGTTGCGCGCCCCATGCCTTGTTGGAGAGGTCACATGGGACTGTAGAGCGGCTGTGGTCCTCTTGCTTCTCTCTCAGATGTCAGGCGGTGTAGTATATCCGGGTAGTGTATGGAACCTCTACTGACCGCTGGTTTGTCACGTGATGAACTCTGTGCTGTAAACACAGCCATGCTGTGGGATGTCAAGCCCATAGAGGAAACGTTACAATCCTCTTCTGCTGTGGGGCTGTGGCTGCACTGTGAGGGTTAATTGCTGCTTTTGTCCAGGGGAGAGGAGAAATGCTTTACTTTACCTGATCCTCTGCTCCCCCTGCAGATGGCGCTCCGCATCACTCCAGCTTTGGACTGTTCTTCTGCATCACCTCCAGTGCAGGGCTATGGACCCCGGATTGGTCTTGATGACATCAGGACCCTAGACTGCTGGAGCATAGGCAGTGGTGTATTTTGGTATTGAGCTGCCCTAAGCAAGACTAAAATCGGGCACTCACCCCTTCATCTGTAAACCCCCACCCTTTCCTCTTTAGGCTCCACCTTTTCCCATTTGAGCTCCATCTCTGAGACTGTGGACACGGTACAGGAGATGGTCAGAGACTGTGGACAGGAGATGGAGGTCAGCTAAGGGGCCCCCGCCTGAGCACTGCTGAGCTCTAAAACAACAAAACCCCACCCCTTCCTCTTTTGGCTCCACCTTTTCTTATTTGAGCTCCACCTCAGGAGTTGGTCAGAGAGTGCGGACACAGTACAGGAATTGGTCAGAGAGTGCGGACACAGTACAGGAATTGGTCAGAGAGTGCGGACACAGTACAGGAATTGGTCAGAGAGTGCGGACACAGTACAGGAATTGGTCAGAGTGCGGACATAGTACAGTAGTTGGTCAGAGACTGCGGACACAGTACAGTAGTTGGTCAGAGACTGCGGACATAGTACAGGAGACTATGGACACAATATAGTAGATCAGCCTTTCTCAACCAGGTTGCCTTGGCAAAATGTCTAAAAAATTCCCAAAACTTGTATACAAACCAGCGGATGAAACAAGCCTGCCTTTTAGTTACACAAAGTCACAGGTTTTTATTGTGAACCATTAGGACCTTCTAGGTGCTGGCGTCCTGACAACCAAAGACATCAGTTGATAAGGAGGGTGTCAGTTATCTCCACAGCATCCTTGTTTGCCCCTCCCCCCCTCTCCATCAGTGCTGGGGTCACATTATCTCAGTGATGGAGAAAAACTGAGGGAGAAGAGAAACATTGGAATACTAGTCAGTACCAGTGTGCAAAAGTGTATTTGATTTGGAAGAATAAATCACCTCTGTTGGCTGTCCCACATGTGTGGATGTTACTGCGTTATATAAAATGATTAGAATAGTTTTTCATATTTTAGAATGGGTGCTTCAAAACTGTCCATAATTTTAAAGGGTGCCTTGACTGAAAAAAGGTTGAGAAACACCGCAGTAGACAGTAAGATTGTGGACATATTACAGAAGACAGACAGAGACTGCGGACAGAAGGCTGTCAGAGACTAACAGGAGATGGGGGTCAGCCGAGAACCCCCCCTCCCCAGCTTGAGCACTGCTGAGCCCTAAACTACTTTCCTAACTTTTTTTTTTTTTTTAGGACAAAAACACTTTTAAGCAAAAGTGTTTTGAAAAAAAAAAAAACATTTTACCCTTCAGAACCCAAAAAAATCTGATGTACTCTTCAGCACCTAGAAGGTGATAACACTGTTATAAGTCTGCACTGCCAATTGCTATTTTCTAACATGTGATTTGCAGCCCTCCATAATGATTTACCCCAGTGTGCTCTGAAAAGGATGCTTAGATTTTACTTGCAGGTAAAGCCAGCTGCAGTTCTAAGGCAACAATCACCCCAATCCTCAGGACTCTGAAGACATCGTACCAGTCAGCCTGCAGCACTGCCGAGACCGCCCTACCATCCCTTCTGCCTAGGGGGGGTGCCCCCCCCCCCCCCCAAAAAAAAAATGCTGCCCAAGGCGACTGCCTTGTTTGCCTCGCAGAAGTTTCTCCCCTGAGCATAGGGGAGAAAACGTTGCGGGAACCAGCCTAGCAGTGTGAAGGAATAAGTACGTATATCTTCTTTTCTGTGTCCTTTAGACATAAATGAGCAAATAACCCTCGCAGTTCAGCTGCAGCCCCACTGCCATGGAGAATTTTACAGTCTCACAGTTGGGCTCCTTTCGCACAGCTCTTCCAATCAGGTTCACTTGACAGTTTTTCAGGCGAGCTGGATCAGATGTTCCATTCACCTCTATGGACTGTGGGTGTACGTGGAATTATGTCTGTTTACAGACACCTACTGCCAGTATGATCAGGTGAGCAGCAGATTGGATCAGAGGTTAGTCAGGTGTAAATGGACAGCAAAGTCCACCCATAGAGCAGAGCGGGCTCTGTATGCGTCAGCTCAGCATAAACTGAGCGGACACAGATGTGACATCCGCCCACTCTGCTCCAATCTGAATGGAATCCACCCTGTGTGAAATGGGCCTTGGACTGTAAAAGAGAACTTCATTGTGTAAACAATTTGTTGCTGTGTCTCTGCACATTTTTTTTTTCCTTTGTGCTCTGCCACCATTCTAGCCTGTCATGTCAGTGTCCTGCTTCTGCAACTCCCTTGGAATCCCCCTATTGCATATCCCAGGAGGCTGCGGGGGCTCATTTTATTTACAATGGCTCAGGCATGTCATTGGTGATTGGGCTGCCTGTAGCCAGCTGAATGGTGTTGGCACCTGACACAAGCACAGACATCTGAACAGTAGATTGCTGCAGGACGACACGGGAACCACTGGACAGGTGAGTGTGTATATTTTAACCCAGCATAACAGATAAGTGGAGATGGGAAGGAGGCTAGGGGGAAAAAGTAGGGGTGGGTTAAGTTACTCTTTACCATCTGTGTTTAAGTGCCCAGGCATACCATTGCGGTTTATGAATTAATATCACACCTGAAATCGCATTACTGTGAATGTCAGTGTCTTAACATGTGCGATTTCTAAAGTGGTTCTTGTATTTATTGCAATTTCACATACATGGAATATATTGGCAATTGCAATGCAAATTGCAAGAAATCATTGAAAGTTTTCAGAAATCGCAACTAAAATCGCACACAAATTGCGCATTTTTAAATTGCATCATGTGACTGGTGTGACATGTGATTTATAAACTGCACCTGAAGTGGCATTTAAAGTATTTCTATGGCATTGTCTTTAATCCAGTGTAATTTGAAGTAGCGTGATTTCAAAAAAGTTCTTGCACTACTTTTTTTTTTTTTTTTTGTGAAGTGATGAAGTTGAAATAACGAAGCTGAAATAATGAAGTCGCGAGCCACAATGAGATCGAAGGTACAAATCACACTGATCTACGGCTTTGAAATCGCACTACTTCAAGTGAAGTAGTGCGATTTCAAAGTTGCAGTGTGACCCAGGGCTTAGACACTCTTTAGAATTCCATTGTGCCTGCCCATGACACTTTCGTGAGGGTGAGGAATTTGTGTACCAGCTGCATGAATTTGGGGCAAGCACCACGTGCAGAAAGGCTGGAGTGTGCATTTAGACACTAGATCCATGTTTAGGGTGCATTTTTCATGGGTCACGTGGCATCAAAACATAACACGGGTGCATTTTTTATATATATATTTTTTTTAATGGTTTTTCAGTGTATTTCAGGCGTGGTTCACAGCAATGCAGTTTGCGTTTTGTCCATTTTGCAGTGTATATCGTTTTTGCCTGCGCGTGCTTGGTGCATGTGTTTTGCGTTTTTTTTTTTTTTTTTTTCTTCAATTTTTGTTGCTGGGCAGATTAAAAGCACAAAATGCATAAATAAACGCAATACTTTTTTTTTTTTTTTTTTTTTTTTTTTTTTTTTAAATGCATTTTTGCTGTTTTTAATGTATTTCAAGCCTGGTTCCACACCATTGCAGTTTGTGTTTTGTCCATTTTGCAGTGCTTTTTTGCATTTTTTTTGCACGTGTTTTTGACATTTTTTTTGTTGTGTTTTGCATTTTTTTTTTTTTTTTTCTTTGGCCAACTTGTTGTTGGGCAGAATAAAAATGCATTAAAAACACAACACGTGCATTCAATGCATTCCAGGCCTGGTTCACACCAATGCTGTTTGTATTTTTTTTTTTTTACCAAAACGATATTTAAATTGGAGGTGATATTAGGAATGTTTTAAAAAAAAAGGGGTTTTATGGTGACTTAACGTTTGAATTTTTTTAACATTGCGCTGTTTATCTCCTCCTCCCCTCCCTGCCTGTCTCCAGCACCGCACTCAGGGACTAGTAGGTAGCAGGGAGACCTTTCAGTGTATTGAGCACTGATTGGGTGCTTGTCAGGAAAGGGGAGTGTCGGGCTTATCCTTTATCTCTTTCGCTGTCAAAGCTGTTTTTGCATTTTTTTGCACAAGATTAAAAAAAATCATTTTAGGCCTGAAGATTACACAAAACCCCCAAACATGATATGTTTTCTGAAATCGGAGACCCTAGAGAATAAAATAATGGTAGTTCTAATTCTTTATGTTGCATGATATTAATTTCAAAATTTCAGCAAAATAATACAAGTTAGTTAACTTTTGCACAAAAAAGCAGTAAATTACCCTTTTTTTTTTTTTAACGTAAACTATAAAAGAAGAGAGTAAATAGATCTCCAACTTGTCAAACCTTAAATTTGCGTGTACTCGTGAAATGGCGACAAACTTCAGTACCCTATATTTTCTATAGGTGACGCTTTTTTAAAGCCCCTTCTAGGTCATCCGTATAGTATTACATATAAGGTCTGGTGCTAGAATTATTGCTCTCATTATGGCGTGCGCAGCGATATGTAATGTGTATCACAATCGATGTTTTCATGCGTAGGCGCCCCAGCGTGTGCTTTTATGTTTGTACATGTGGGGGCTCAAATTTTTTTTGTGGGGGGGAATATTGTGTGCTTGGGTGTAACTTTCATTTTTTACAATTTAAAAAAAAAACAAAAACTTTTTTACTTTTTTTTTTTTTTCATGATGATTTTTTGTTGACAAGTTCTCTTTATTGAGACATTCAAGGTCTAAAAGACCCTGGATGTCTCCTCTCTGCTCCCCTGAATGTAATGCAGTGCACATCGTACTGCATTATATTCTTTCCTGGCAGAGAGGCTGGCACTGTGTGGCAGCATTTGGGCGGCATTCAGTTTCGGTCCAAGAATTTTCATTTTGGTGCACCACTAATGGAAAGTAAAACTACCACCCAAAGACATTTCAGAATTTAACACTTTATTATTATTATTATTATTATTATTATTATTATAATAAAGTATTTATAAAGCGCCAATAGTTCGCTCAGCGCTGTACATTACAAAGGGGGACAGAACATGTGACAGAACAATACCAATACAATGCAAAACATGAGGGGATTGAGGGCCCTGCTCTTTTAAGCTTACAATCTAGGAGGGAGGGGATGGTGGCACAGGAGGAGATAGCTGTGGGGGATGGAGTGGTAGGAAGAGTGGAGGAGGTCGGCAAGTTAGCAGGGGGTGGGGTAGGCTTCCCTGAAGAGATGGGTTTTCAGGGTGCACCTAAAGGAGAGGAGAGTAGGTGATAATCTGATGGGTTGGGGCAGGGAGTTCCAGAGGATGGGTGACACCCTGGAGACGGGCATGGGAGGAGGAGACCAGGGAACTAGAGAGAAGGAGGTCTTGTGAGGAGCGGAGTGTGCGTGCTGGGTGGTACTTGGATATTAGGTCAGTGATATAGTTCGGGGCAGTATGGTGGACGGCTTTGTACGTCAGTGTTAGGATTTTGAATTTGATCCGGAAGCCAGTGGAGGGATTGGCAGAGGGGGGTGGCGGAGACAGAGCGGTTGGAAAGGTGAATGAGTCTGGCAGCCGTATTCAGGATCGACTGAAGCGGGGATAGCCAGCGGCGAGGCAGGCCAGTGAGAAGGGAGTTGCAGTAGTCGAGTCGTGATATGATGAGGGAGTGGATGAGCTGTTTAGTGGTTTCTGGAGTTAGGAACGCGCGTATTTTGGCGATGTTGCGGAGGTGGAGTCTGAACGAGTTTGTTAAAGATTGGACTTGGGGCTGGAAGGATAGGTTGGAGTCCAGAATGACACCAAGTACTCTGGCCTGCGGGGCGGGTTTGATGTTGGCGTTGTTGGATGTGATGGAGAAGTCAATGGGGGGTGGTGTCCGGGCTGGGGGGAAGACCAGAAACTTGGTTTTGGAGAGGTTCAGTTTAAGGAAGTGGAGCGACATCCAGTCTGATATGTCGCTCAGTAGGTATGTGAATTGGGCGGAGACCGAGGGGGTGAGGTGGGGGGTTGAGAGATAAATTTGTGTGTCGTCGGCATAGAGGTGGTAGTTGAAGCCGTGAGAGTGTATGAGTTGGCCAAGGGAGGAGGTGTAGATGGAGAAGAGAAGGGGCCCGAGGACAGAGCCTTGAGGAACCCCAACAGAGAGGGGGAGGTGGTAGCATTATAGGTAACGCTGAAAGAGCGTTGTGACAGGTAGGATGAGAGCCAGGAGAGAGCAGAATCTCTGAGGCCGAGGGAGTGTAGTTTTCTGAGGAGGAGGGGGTGGTCAACCGTGTCGAAAGCCGCGGAGAGGTCGAGGAGTAGGAGCACTGAATAGTGGCCATTAGCTTTGGCGGTTAGCAGGTCGTTGGAGAGTTTTGAGTAAGGCGGTTTCGGTTGAGTGTAGGGGACGGAAGCCGGACTGTAGGGGATCGAGGAGGTTGTTGTCATTGAGGTGAGAGCTTAGGCGGGTGTAGACTAGGCGCTTGAGGAGTTTAGATGTAAATGGGAGCAGGGAGATGGGTCTGAGGTTGTTTGGGTCATTGGGGTCCAGGGAGGGCTTTTTAAGTATGGGGGTGATGTGTGCATGTTTCAGAGGGGAGGGGAAAGTGCCGGAGGAGAGGGAGAGATTGGAGATGTGGGTGAGGGAGCGTAGGATGGAGGGGGAGGGAGGTCGTAGGAGTTGTGAGGGGATAGGGTCGAGGGGGCAGGTGGTGAGGCGGGCATCAGAGAGGATCTTGGAGACTTCCTCGATGGTAGTAAGGTCAAAGGTGCGGAGTGTTGGGGGAGCTTCAGTATGAGGAATGTAGGGTGGGGTGGAAGTGGAGGTCAGAGCAGTGGTGGGTCCGTGGGAGAGGGGTGAAGAGGGGGTAGCTGAGTGAGGGGGAACAGGGTTGGAGGGAGTTTGAGCAGCGACGAAGTCTAGGGGGGTTGTCACATTTCTGGTCCCCTGCCATGGTTCTCCCTGCTGGCCTTTACCTTCTGTAGTGATGTAGAGGCTGATGGATCAAACCACTGAGCTCAGCAAAGGACCAGAGATCCAACACTCCTAGAAGAGTCAGAGTCTGAAGATTTTTTTGGACAGAGGTTTCCTCTTCAATAAATGGAGCAATCTCCATTTTTATTTTGACCAGGCCATCGTGTCACTTTAATAGGGGAGTAGATAAACATTTTATCCAGTTCACCTTGTATGTTATACCTTTTTATAATTGTAATGCCTTCTGTGTTTCTTTGTGTCTAGGCAGCAGCTCTGGTGGAAGAGGAGACCAGAAGATATCGCCCAACAAAAAACTACCTGAGTTATTTACCCACTCCTGACTACACAGCATTTGAGGTATTCTGATTTATTTGTTTTGGCATTAAAGCCTAAGTTTAATCAAAACTTTTTTTTAAAAAACATAAGCACAAGGGACACAGTACGTGCAATCAATGCAAAATGTCCCTTTTCCCGCTGGCTGCAGTTTTAGTTGAAATGCTTTATTCTCTCATGACTAAGTTCACTTGAACAGTGTTAAACAATAATACATTTATGTGTTGTATAGATCATTGATGAGTATTTGCAGACACTAACAAAGTGGTAAAGAGCAGTGCAAAGTGCACTGTGTAGCTTATACGTGTGTGTGTGTGTTGTGTGTGTGTGTGTGTGTGTGTTTTTTTTTTTTAAACTTAGTAACATTTATTTTTCAGCGTGCCTGTGACATGTGGTGCCATTTATTGTGCTGAGTTTTTTTTATGTCCTTTTTTTCACAAAAATAGCTTTCTTTGGGTGGTATTTCTCAAAAGACCGAAAAGTTTGAAAAAAAAGCAATGTTTTCGCCTTTCTGTCATTAAAAGAAAAATCCAAAAAAACTAAAATTTCGTAAAATTTAGGCTAAAATGTATTCTGCTATGTCTTTTGGTTAAAAAAAAAAAAATCCCAATAACTACATATTAATTGGTTTGTGTGAAAGTTATAGCATCTACAAACTATGGTATAGATACTGGAATTTACACAGCTTTTACTTTCTGACTGCCCATCACATTTCTTGAGGTGGCAGTCAGAAACCGCGCAGTACAAAACCCCCAAATGACCCTTTTGTGGAAAGTAGACACTCTAAGCTATCTGCTGAGAGGCATGTTGAGTCCATAGAAGATTTAGTTATTTCCACAAGTTTTTGGAAGTGATATGATTATACAGGGCAGTACAAAACCCCCAAATGACCCCTTCTTGGAAAGTAGACACCCCAAGGAATTTTATAGGAGGCATGGTGAGTATTTTGCAGTATCATTTTTTCTCGCAAGGTTTTGATATATAAAAAAAGAAAAAATATGTTTTTGTTTTCTTCCTTCATTTTCCAAAAACGTGTGGCAACAAACGAGATCTGCAAAGTACTCACCATGCTTCTTATCAAATTCCTTGGGGTGTTTACTTCCAAAAAGGGGTCTTTGGGGAAAGGGGGGGGTTGTACTATTCTGGCATATTTCAGGGCCTCCGAAACAGTGGTAGGTAGTCAGGAAGTGTAATGAGGAAATAAAGCCCTTTTAAAAGCCTGAAGGTGCCAAAAATGGGTCATTTGGGGGGTCATTTTTTTTTTATCACTTTTATTGCTATCACAGGGAATGTACATATCCCCTGTGACTACAATAGGCATTGACAGGTGTTCTTTTTTGAGAAATCTGGGGTCTACTAGATTCTAGATATCTCCTTTGCCCTTACATCATCTGATCTCGCCAAGATCGGTGTGATCAGTTGCTTTTCTAATTTACAAATGGTGCTGTTTATATCCTGCGAAACTGAAGTGATGAAATACTCGTAGTTTCTGATTTCTTAGACTGTAGAGATGACTGGCACCATTCCAGTCTCCAATCAGCTCGATGGTCAGCCGGCTGCATTCTCAGGTTCCTCCAATGGCACGAGACTGCCCGAGAAGGCTATGGAAGGCAAAACGTGGGGGGGGGGGGCATCTTCTCCCTTGTAAAAGCAATCCTGCAAGTAATTGGCCACTAGGATTGCTTTTACATGAAAGCTAATTTCCGGCTGAAAAAAAATGATACCTAGATGAAACCTTAGCTGTAGGCATCATCCTGGTATAACCACTTAAAGTCCAGTGATGTACCAGTGTGTCGCTGGTCCTTGTTGGGTATATATGCTATGTTTTTTTAAAAATTTAAAAATATTTTTTTTTTCCTTTTTTAAATTTTTTTTTAACTTTGCATACAGATCTTCTGTGAAAATCCGCTCCAAAAATCAAGGGGAGTAGTTTTAAATTTGCTGTTTCCATTTGAATTTCTGGGTTGGGCAGTGTATGGCGGAAGTACGGGTGCTGCAGAATTTGTGGGCTGCCAATCAGGATTTGCAAGCACATCCGGAAGGACACTAGGGGCTCTATGGGCCTGTGTGTGAATTCTTGGTGACTGCGGGACATTACTTGGACTAGCTACTGCACCAGCTTATACTGCACTTATGGGACTTGCCACGTCACCAAATAATACTGCAGAGCTGGTATGTATAAGACCAGGATGTACTAGGCTGCTGGTGCTCGCCAGTTCCCCAAAAGGTGGAGCGGCACTAGTACTGGCACTCTGCTGCATATGAGAATCATCATGCAATTGTAACATCTCAGCAACCTTGGAACGGGGTTGGGTACGCCTGACGTTAGCAGGGACCTGTTTTCCATCGTCTTCGCTATCTGTCAGTGTACCTCTGATGTCTACAGGTTCGTATTCTAAGGCAGATTCTGTCAGTGAGGCTTCCCCTTCGCTCTCATCTGACATGCTTAGAATCCTGAAGGCCTCCTCACTAGAGTAACTTTTGTTGGATATATTGGCCACTAAATTTATAGGTACCTAGTGCGACTCACGGGAAAAAGAGCACCTGGCTGTTGGGGACTGCTTGAACCGCTACAAAAAAATTTACCTGCAAGTGCTAGCAGAGATCAGGCCTGATTCTGCAAGAGCTTCTGTTTTGTGTGCAATGTATCAAGTGACTGTGACCAACGGACACTGCACTTGCTTGGGGAGAAGGGGTGGGGGGTAAACGTAGAGGCTAAACGCAGGTGCTGGTTCCGATCTCACTAACGCTGCATTTTCGGGGACACTATACTAATGTAAACGCTGATATAGTGCTGATCTGATCAAAGATGTTGATCCGTTCAGATACTATACTAGCAATGGAGGTTTATTGTGTATGTGAGCGTGTTCCTGGCAATGAAGGGGTTAAATGTGATGACTGATGTAGTGACGGGCAATCTGACACTATCTGGGAGAGATGCTAACTAACACTATCTGAAGTCTCTGGTGATACTAATACAGTGATCACCGTAACAGCACTGTCAGGTTGGCGGGCGGGTGCGCCCACGGTCACCATGGGAGAGTGAATCACGTGATTTTGTGCAGGGAGTCCGCCCTGTAGCAGTATTTCTTAAAGTGGTTACTTTTCCAAAAAAAATTACAAAACACTGGACTGTCTACTTTCCAAAAAGGAGTCATTTGGGGGATATTTGTACTGTCCTATTGTTTTTGGGCCTCAAGAAATGATAAATCATCAGTACATCACGATTGATCGTTTTTTGTTTTTTCCAGATATATATCATGGTTTTGTTTCCTACAGACTAAATAATAAACACTAATTTGGATTATTTTTACCAAAGAAATGTAGCAGAATACAGTTTGGCTTGCATTTATGAAGAAAGATTATTTATTTGCAATGTTTTTATACCAAAACGAAGAAAAATGCTTTTTTTCTTCAGAATTTTTTCTTTTTTTTGTTTAGCAAAAAATAACCCAGTGGTGATTAAATACCACTTAAAGAAAGCTCTATTTGTGTGAAAAAAAAAAAAAGTTCATAAGGATACTGCACAATTGTCATTCAATGTGCAACAGCACTGAAAGCTGAAAATTTGGTCTGGGCAGGAAGGGGGTGAAGTGCCCAGTATTGAAGTGGCTAATAACCACTTACCGATTTCAGTGGTAAGCCATTAATACCCCCTATGGTAGTGGTGGTGCTCAGTGGGGAGTGCCCCTTAAGTGCTGGTTCTCGAGTCGCACAGAGTTGCATGACAAGGGAAATCATATTATTTTCAATGGTGCCCATTCATATCAATGAGCACCGTGATTTTGAAAAACAGGATTTTTTGTTACAAAAAATAAAGTGAACTGCGCTACTACTTCTGATTGTGCTAGTCTCTCATGTCTGCAATATCTTAGTGCGATGTGCACTCTATATAATTCATAATAATCATGAAAATATTAAAAACAATGCTACAAAATAATGGCATGCAATATAAAGTGCCCTACATAGTGAATCTTCAAAAAAAACATGCAGTGATAACTTCATGCAAAAAAAAAAAAAAAAAGTCCCATCCTTTCAGGGATCTCTTTAAAATGTCATTCTACATTCTCTCATCATATTGCATGAAGTAGGAAGAAAAGGAGGCACACATAGTGTAAAATCTTTTGTTTTAAAAAAAAAAAAAATTCACATTGATGTGTGTCCTTGCCGACACTGGTATAACAGATTCACTCTAATAGCCGAGCCAACTTGGTCCACAATCAGGTTGGAGGCTTTATTAAGTTCCAGCATGGTAGAGATCATAGAATATTGTCAGGTTCAATCTTTGCGATTTGCCAAAGGCAAGCCAGCAATTTTAAAGCAGAGTAGAGGATCGATGCTTGGAGAGTAGATCTTCCCATAATGGCAGCCATCAGGGGATGTCTGCAACCAACCATACCAAGCTGGTGTACCGGGCTCTCAGAGTCCAATATGTAGCCACCAGAACACCTGGGATCCCACTGGCCACTATCCAGTGTAGAAGGCGAGGAAGCAACTTGAGGTGAAGCGTGAATGCGCTGGTAATGGCTTTTTAGCACCACTAGCATGTCCGTCACATCCACCAAAGGGTCTCTTGTTCTTGCCATGAACCTTGACACCTACCTATTCAGATGAAAGGCCAACAGGTCGACGTCCAGGGAACCCCACCACAGACGTCATGAAATGCGTCTGGATGCAGAACTCGCCCTCTGTGATCCCACTGAGGTAGTCAGCCTGCCAATGATCTATGCCCAGAATGTAAACTGTGGAGAGAGCTGGTGTGTGGAGTTCCGCCCACCTTAGAATGAGTGAGGCCTCTTGTACCGCAGCTGAACTCCTCTTGCTGCCCTGGTGAATGATGTAGGCCCCAGCCATGGCGATGTCTGAATGGATCCTGACTGGGTACTCTTGAAGCTGCTCCATCTAGTGAGTTAGGCAATGCATGGTTGCCCACCTCCAGAACATAGGTAACAGAGACTGCTCCGGCGTCCACTGGCCTTGAGCCAGCCTGGGATGCATTACACCTCCCCAGCTGGACAAGCTGG